CTAAACAGGAACTTTTGCAGGTAGTATACTGTACAGTAAGAGTCAAAGACCGATCTTCTTTTGCCTTTGCATGTTCCAACTTCTAGAGATTTAGATGCAGATGGAAGGAAGGGTTACCAAATCTGAGTTTGAGAAGCTGAAGGGGTGCAGGCTGGAAGGTGGGCCTGTTTTAAGGCAGCCACTGTATCTGCTGTCACATTCCCTGTCAGTCTGCTCAGACCTGCTCTATCCAGATCCCTTCCTGCTCACCTGCCCTTGCCAATTTCCCATGATCTGAGTGTGCATCTTCCCATGGTAGGTATGGACCTGATGCTTTTGCCTGCCTGTGGGAATGACCTCTCCTGAACTGCAGTCTTGCACAGTTCACTCATCCTTTTCAATAAAAGAGAGCAAATGTAACTTTGGTATTTAAAAATTCATTTCCAACTTAAAATATTAAGAATTCTGCAGAGCCTCCTGGGAAGCAACATAGGGAAATGCTGTGCCCAAATTCCTTGTCTTCCTCCAAACTAATAGTTTTTGTACAGCTCATTCACCCCTGAATATTCCAATTATCCTTCTATCCAAAAACTACATGTACAAGTACCTGGACAAGAGAGCTGCATGCTCAGTAGTGAGTTTTTCAATTTTAGAACATGTGAAGCTTTATGAAGAAGTGGCTGTAAGCTTGGATTGTATTTTTCAAGCTTGGGATGAAGATTTTTTTCAAATTTATTGAATAGGAAGACAACTGTTTGAGATCCACATACTGTAGAATAGAACCAGAGTGTTAAACAAACGCAAATAGCAGCCAGCTTTAAACTAGTTCAATGAATTCTTAGCCTGGGATTCTGTAAACTAGTTCAGCTCATGTCCAAAGCCCTTGAACAGCTTGTGGACTCCCATCTGTATCATTCTGTTGCAAGCAGGCAAACTTCTTTTATACTAAGAGAGTGTCTTTCTTACAGATACAAAGCTTCAGAAAAGGAGACTGTGAATTCAGCACATTCAAGGTCATTCCCCATGAGCATTTGCCAATGTATACAGAAATGCAGAACATTTATTCTCCTTCACCATCACTTTTTCCTCTTTTAAATCTCTCTGGCCATATTGTTTATTAAAATTCCATCTATAAAAGTATTTTTATGGAATTAAGAAATCAAATGAAATTAGTACATGGCTGGACAGCATTGTAATGTAGAAAATGGAATCTTCTTAATGTGACCAAAATTTTGGCATACTATCATCTTCCTGAGGAAATACAAACAGTCCCAGTGTTATGAAGTATAACCAGAATTTCTGTAACGGTTTTTAAACTTATTATTGAAAGTATTTTTGCAAGCAGAAACTTGAGAGAACATCATCAGTACACGCTGTGCACTGGAGTAATCAATAAACTGGAGAGATGGAAGAAGAAGCCAATGTGTTCCTTCTTTCTAAAGGAAGATTTTTTCCTAGCCATTACAGAAGTCTTCCTTAAGCAACCCCAGTAAAGAATGTGGAGAGGAGAAAGATGACATTTCCAGAAATATCAGTAAGCAACAAGCACAAAAAATAAACTGCACTCTAGAAGAACCATAAACATGCTGTACATATTTCATTAGAAAGGAAATAGCTGCTTGCCAGAACTCTTGGAAAAAAAACCCTCAACTAAAAAAAGAGAAATTTCTGATCTTCAACTTGCAATCTTTGATTTAATTTCTTTTTCCTTTTTTAAACACACATTTTTACACTGTGTCCAATATTTTACTCGGCTAACTGAATTGCCAGGAACAGGAAAGTTAACACTTAGCTTGTTAAACCCTTGAAACACCTAAGATAGTGTTCCTGTAGATTGAATGTTAGATTTCAAAGGTCCAGGACCATGGTGATGGGGTCACAAATGACTGCTCTCTATCTTGGGCCACCTCACCCACAGTGCCAAGCAGGTTCCTCTGTACACAGGGCTCACATCTCCAGCCCTTAGAACTTCTTGTTTGTCCTCTCTAAGTGCAATCCCAACTCTCAGGCTGTCTTTGAAGCATATCACAGGTGACTACCCCAGCAGTGGTGATGCAGCACTGGGGTAGAGTTGGCACATGTGAGAGATTGGCTCTGTTTTCACCTGATCCCCATTTGGGAGGAAGGCAAAGAAAACAGTTTTGTTTTTATTCAGATTTCAATAGCAGCTGTCGGAAAGCTGCTCAGCAGTTTGGAATGTCAGAAGTAGTCCCTTTGGAGCTGGATTAGAGGGAGATGGAGACAGCCAAGAGAACTGAGTGGATAGCTGTGTAACCATGGAGTAAAATCTCCTGCATATTCACAGACAGAAAGAACCCATTCTGTGTCACATACAGATCACGCTCAAATCTTGCAAGCAAGGCCTAAGCTAAACCTATTCTTTAGGCTTGTCTAATCTACTTTCACTAAATAACTGTATAAGAAGTACTGGGATAAGAACTCTAAAAATAAAACTGCCAGTCTTATTGGAAGGGAAGCTACAATGTCTGCAAGCCAACAAAAATAACAATTTTTCATTCAACTCACAGTTCAGGAAAAATATTCATGTTTGCCAAATTAAAAAAGCCAACAAAGCTGATGGGAACAGAAAATATTTTCAGGCTGAAAGAGGATATTACAAACAATGGAGACTCAAAGTCAAATGTCTCTTTATCCTTTTAAAAGGAACTTTCTGAAATACAACACCCAATTTTTGCAAGAATGATGTAACCTTTAAACAATACTACTCCAAATACTTTGTCATCTAACTTTTTTATAATTATTTAACAAATTATGATGGAGCTGACCCACCCATGCCTACATATACGAGAATTTCTTCTGGCCTCCTGGCTTTAATTTTCAGCCCTTCTGGTGGTATTGAAAAAGCTGAAAAAGAGCTGAAAATCTCAGGCCTACTTTTATTTCAGGAGTTATTCCAGGAGTTTAGAATACAGAAGTTCAATGAAGAAACAATATGCAAATAAGCAAGCCTTAAGATTTTCAGATTTAAGCCCAGAAAATGATTAAAAAAAGAAAAGAACAAACAAGAAAAATTGGCTGTACTCAAAATTACTTCTTGACATTTCTTACTATTATTCTTCAGAAGAGAGGTTAGGTAGAACATCTTTTCCATGAGATCAACCTTAATATATACCCTAGGGCTGACCTAGACAGCACCTAGAAGTATCTGCAGGAGTAACACTGGTTTGGGGTCACTTGGTCTGTCCAGCTGGAGGAGAAGCAGCTGAGGGGAGACCTCATTGCAGTCACAACTTCACTGTGAGGTGAAGAGGACGGGCAGGCACACATCTACAGAGGAAAAGCTTTGCTCTGCCCTCTTACAGTGGCCAACAAATTTCTATGCTACCTGCAAGATCAGTTACTCCAAAGCATGAAAAAATTTCTGCAGACCCCAGACTTTCAAATGAGAACATGCACTCATTTAAGAAATGCCAATTGAAATCTAGCAGTAACCAAATGAAAACTTCACTACTTATAGAAATTAATTTTTCTTCTTGAAAGTAGGTTATGATACTGTTATCTGAATAAGTTTACACAAAGACATTACCTGTCCTACTTTACACATTGCTAAGTTTTGCAGGAGAGAAGACAACTAGAAAACTGAAGGAAGTAAAATTCTGTTGTGTTTTGCCAACTAGAAAATTGAAATAATACAATTAGTTCCCAATATATCAGGATAATATTCTGGGAATCTGGATCCCTCACTAAGTCCTGATTCTTTCAGCATTGAAGAGATTAGCCAGCAAAGTGAAAATACATTAAGTATTGGGCTCAGAATTTCATAGTTTGAATGCACACTCTTTAAACACACATTTTAAAATACTCAGCCGAGTTGCTTTTGCTAGACAAAGAAAATAAGAATCAGAAATAGGCTTGGACTGAGTAGATTAAACTGAATTCTTGTAGACTTTCCAATAAATCCACTAAAAATTTTCTCATTTTAAGATTTTGGTGTAATTGTCTTGTATTCAATAAATGTAGTTCTACTGTTCCTCAAGTATGTATCAGTACTTCAATAAAAAAAAAGTAAGAACCACCATCTCTAATTCTTATGATAACCCTAGGTCTTGTAAAGCATGTTTTATAATGTAAAATATGTAGTGTTCCATTACAGTAAAATCAGATAATAGCTGATGCAGTTAATAGTATCTATTGGGGCTGCTCAAAGGAAAGACAGCATTCAAGCAACTGGAATAAGTACTAATTCATAATAACTGAGTCACCACAGGGTAGCCTGTGCCTTCTACTGGATCTAATAGCTCATATTTTACAGCATCTTAATCTTGTAGTTGACATCCAATTCACTACTTCCCAAAAAGTTATTAGCAGAAGTGGTAACATCTGAATTTGCAATGGAAAAATGAAGCAATATATGGCTTCTTGTTCTACAGATCTTTTAGGCTCCCACAAATTCATTTTCCTCTTTCAGAGGTCAACCACATTTGGCACTTCTCAGTGCAAGCACTACACTACAATGTTAGCCAGCAGTACCATACTCTTGGCTCAGGGAGAGGATTTGTTCTTTGCTTTGTATGCTTTAAGTCCCACTACTGCCAGAAAATGTACCAGTAAGAGAAGGGGAAAAAAGTAACATAAACACTCCTATCAAACAGCATTTGACAGTGGCTGTACCCAGTCTCATGTAATGGAACTCAGGCTGAAGGGTGGAGAAAACGTTCAAGCAGATTGCGTTCTATTGGATTATGAAATACTTTTTGTAAGAAATGCTGAGTTTGTACTTTATTAAGACCCCAGTTCTAGGTGATCTGAAACATTCTTTGAGTTGCATTCAGCATGTGAAGCAGCTCAATCTACAATTCCATTGTATGGACCAATCAATTCAAGTTAGGCCAGCGCTTCTAGTTTGTTGAGACAAGAACATCATACTTTTTTTATTTGTCTACAGCTACATCCTGAGGTCAATTTAAATATTTGATTATTTAGAAAGGTCTTATTGTATTTAACAGCAAATATTATCTTTTCTTCTAGCTGTCTAGAATAATATCAAAACATACCAACATATCTCAGTATTTTTTGCAGATCTGTCTCCTTTCAAATCCAGATGACACTGGCTATTCAGCAGCTGAACTGCTTAATGTTTAGGTAGCTATCCTGTGGGCAGATATTGACAGCATTTTATTACAGTGATGTTTAAAACAGACTCATTTCATTTTATTATTATAAAAGGGTTTAACATCCTGCTACAGACACACACACCATCATCTGGCATGATGGTGAACATTTAAGTTCCAAGAAGAACAGCATTACAGGATCCTACTATGAGTTTTAAGAGAAGAATTGGTCTCTAACACCTTGGGTTTGGGATATTTTGGAGCTGTTTCAAAGCCTATTGAGCTGGTATGGTTCAATGCAGATAATATTTGATTTATGATGTATCACAGAGGATAAAAAGGGGAGGAACTAGATCTAACTAATTATTTTTTATCCCGTGACCTTCTAAAAATAAAATCCCTGGGGCTGCCAGGCAAATAGTAGTTCCAGGAAAATACTCCAGGGCATACAAAGGATTCTTTTTAATTGTTCTATCTTCAAGGAAATCACATACTTATGACTCACACCTGAGACAGCAAAACTATATTTGGGACATAAAAGTGGATGTGATGATGGTATCATCTCCCAAACCTGAGAAAGCCATGAATTTTGTTTTTTCATAGGATCATGTAACAGCTTGAGTTGGAAGGGACCTTAAAGATCATCTTGTTCCAGCCCCCCTGCAGTGGGCAGGGACACCTTTCACTAGACAAGGCTGCTCAAGGAACGGGGCATCCACAACTTCTCTAGGCACTTTGAAAGCCTTAGAATTATTCTGCTGTCTGCAATTTCACAGGACCTTCTTTGGCAACAAAGGTGAGATTGTGCACAGGCTCTCCATTGTTTCTTCTGCAGTTAGAATGCAGATGTGGAACACCAAAAATGAGGCATGGTTGAAATCTTGATACTGCCAAAGAAACACATGAACCACCCATCCAGACTAGGCCAGGATGTAGCCCTTTTATGAATTTGCCCATGAAATGCTTCTGCCTTAACTTGCAATTAAATTCTTGCAGCACCAAAACCAGCATCAATCTCTGTGGGTTCCAGTATGCCCAAGGCCATGGAGAATTACACTGCAGGACAGAGTTTGAATATTTTTTTTTAGTTTATGCAGACTCTAGCTGCTCTTGCATTTCTGATCCTGTTACTTCTGACTGCACAGCAGTGGGTTTTAAAAGCTGTTTTGACTGGGGTTGTGGCTCTAAGAAAAGATTTATGGAACCACTGAAAGTGCTGTGGAAGAAAATAAGAGATACGTAGGCAATACAGCTTTAAACAAGCAATGCAACTGAAGCCACACTTGTGAAACTATGCTTTTCAAGTGGCTGCATTTGATGCCGTCCAGAGATCGCAGCTGAAGATCAGACTCAAGCTCAGGGACCTGTGGCTTCCCCATTCTTACTGTGTGGATGGATGTGGGTGATTTGGGATGACAGCTGTCACACACCTGCACCAGAATGTTGCCATCCATCCTACTCTTGGAGCAAGGACAGCTCCCTGCAGTTCTCTTGCAAGAAATTTTTGGAACCTAGCAAACATCTCCCCAAAACCTGAAGATAACTTTGTGGGCTGAAGACATTGCTTACAACTTGAATCAAAAGTCATCACAAAAAGATAATTTTCTGTCTGAGGAAAGGAAATCGTTCCATTGAAACTGCAGGAATATGCTATAAAACAAGTCTTAACGAGGAATTAAATATCTACAATTCACAAAGGTTGAGAATGTCTAAAAAAAGCCCCAGAGCAACCCTAGACCAAATGGCTCTATTTAAACAGGAAATAGAAACAAAAACTTAATCCCAAGAGAGAAATAACTCAATTATCCGACTGCTCAGCCTAGTTTGTGATGTCCCAGCTGATGTTAACTGCACTCACTACAAATACAGGTAATTTTGCAAAACTGCATATCATAAACCAAATTTTTCTGTAGCCCTTTGTCTTTCTACACAGCACCTGACTACATCTTGAAGCTGAGCAGCACTTTTATGAATTCTGTATATAGAAAAATAGTTTTCAGACATGATTAAAATCTTGTAAAAGCCACACAAAAGATTTGGGCTAGGCCAGGATGTACCTTCTTTGTTAATTTGTCCAGCACAAGACATTGTAGGTCAGGTTCTGGCCCAACTTGTAATTAACTTCAGAGATTTGGAAATATGAAGGGCAAAGAGAACATATTCTTATGTGCTGCCTGCCTGACACACACAGCCAGATTAATTCTGGCAGTGCTCACTGTTCAGCTGCTTGCAGTGGACACCCACTGGCAGGAAACAGAGAAACCTCCCTAACAGCCATTTCCATCAACAGTGAAATTAGTGTTCACAGAGGTCAGCTACACATCTGTAGTTGGAAAAGGCAGCCACAACAAACTGAGCAAACAGTCTCTTAATCAACAGCTTAATCACAGCAGTTACATCCTCATGCTCATAAGTGTAGGAATTAATGAATAGTGTTCTACTTGCTTGCAGTAATGAGGTTTTAATCTACTAGTGAATCTTTTCTTTACTACAAGCAATGTCACCACAGTGTGAAATTGCTATTGACCACAGACATGCTCCTACGTCAATGCAAGCATCAGCTAAAAGGCCATGGCCCAGGTTACATGAAGCAAGTGTTCTGTAAACAGGCAGTGCAGGAGATGAATCAGGCTTGTTTGGCAGGAGTAAGACTTGAAAAAATGGTATGTGCAGTGGTGATGAATCCAGCCTATTTCAAGTGTGGGAGAACTTCACCTAAATTATCTCCTCCATCCTATTCTAACTTATGTCTGCACTACACAGCACTTAACCAGGACATGTCTGGAAGTGAACAGTGCTTCTGTAAATGCTGTATACAGATGAAATAGTGTTAGACAGCAGCACTTCAAAAGTTTTGAAGTCTGAGTGGGATGACTATCTTATACAATATCCAAATGATGAGTGAAGAGCCAGGAAATAACAAGCAAATATGATGAAACACAAGAAGCCTTGGCTTACAACTTCTATAGTAGTTACAGTATGCAATCAGATCTAACACCAAGGAAAAACTGAGATACCTGAGAAATCTTCCTAGCAGGCTCCTGCCTGATTATCTCCTACAACCTGAAGAAAGAAAAAAGAGCAGGTATTTCACTGAGGAACATAACTGTTTATAATGAAAACTGTGAATCAAGAGTTGGAAGACTGTCATTGCTCACCACAGAGATGCTCTTTCCATTCTCTTTGTCTTCATAGACGATCTTCATCTATGATCTTCATCAAGATCAGCATCTTGATGTCTTTGGAAGTTTTCCTATATGTAATGCAAGGTGTGAAGGTATGTTGAACACCAGATAAAATCATCCTTACATGCATGAAAACATAAATACTAGATTTGCAATCAGTGGTGAAGAACTAGTTTAATGGAGAATGAAATCACAGCCTATTTAATAAAGAATCAGATCCTGTTCATCTGGAGACAGGAAAGCCTCCACAGACAACTGAACAAGTAAGAAAGACTAAAATGTGAGAAAGCATCACATACTCCAAACTTCATTGGCTGTGAATTCCTCTTTTGCATTTCAACCAAGCAGTTTCCTATTTGAAAGCAAACTGACCCACGGTCTCTGGCTGTGAAATGCACAATATTTGGAACAGGATGCTGATGCCATATTTCTTGGCCCAAACTTGTCTGCCACTGGAAGATCACAAGCTAGCCCTGCCTTGAGGAACACACATTGGTAATCCTTCAATTCTTCAAGCTTCCAAGAAGTCTACCTCTCCATTCTGAAATGAAATATAGCTGACAATAATTTTCCAGAAGGGGAATTGCTCCAAGCCTTTAGACAAATTAGACCCAAATTTAATATAAGAGCTAGCAAAAAACCCCAAACCAAAAAATTTATCTAGTTTACCACTTCTAGTTTAAAGAAGTCTTGGCTCCAAATTCTGCTCATGAAGAAAGATGCTTGTTTTGAATAAACAGACAGATATATAACATGAGAATATTTCAACAATCAACCTAAGTGCCTCCTAAGGAGGGCTTCAGTAGTTGCATTCTATTGAACAGCAGAATGAACCTACCAGGAATCCAGGGCTTTCTCTCAGTCCTGTTCTCATACCTTCACTCCAGGAGAACACATGCTGAATCCTTCTGTTTCCAAAATCCAGGACTTTATGCACCTTCCCCTAATGGTGGAATTGTAGTGTCCTCAGGAACTGACTAAACTTACTGAAGATGAAGACAGGGAAAGGCAGAATTTTCAGGACTATTCTGCAGGATGCACTGGAGGAATAAGGGTATGAATTAAACAAAGAGTTCCATCCTGATTAATTTTTTCCAAAAGAGTTTAAAAAGCACTTATTTTATTTGTAGTAAATGCCCACTACCCTCAGGGTAAATGCTCAGGCAGATCTCCAGACTGTGAGAACATAAAAACCCCTTGCTACTAAAAATAAATCCAAGATGAGACCATAGCTTGAAGTGACAACTTTTTATTTTAGGCAAAAACAAAAAAAAAGGCCAAAAACATTCCGCTATTGCAGTTTGTAAAATTTTCACTGTTTTCAGTAGAAACAGTTTACAAATCAGAATGCAATATTCAAATAACATTGTGCAAAATTGTACTGGCATAACTACACATAGCAAAAAGACTAGTGTAAATCAAGAATTCCACTGAAATTAGTTGAGCTGCTCCAGTTTTACAACAGTGTACATCACCTCGGAATAGGCCCTTTTTTGCAGAACATCCCTGGAATTCCCCTTGCTTACAAAAATTGCTTTACATGCAACAAGTAACCTATCAGTACAACATAAGCAAGAACATCTCCACAAGTTATCACAGTGTAACAGAGGAAAACATGTCAGCCAATTTCATACAAAGGCAAATCTAATGGCAGTTTTGAACATCCCTTGACTGCTGCCCTCTCAAATTGCACATTTCAAGATAGGAAATAACTTAGAATGAAGCCAAGCTATGTTCTTAACTATCAGTACATTGACAATTAGGATGGATGATGTGTTCAGAAGGGGGTTGTTTTCTTTTTTTAGCTTAGTAGATTTTCCAAAGGGAGTTGTTTGAAGAGTTTGTGTAAAAAATGTTAATTTGCAGTGTTATCAGGCCAAGTCCACTTCTGCTATTCAGATAGACCTGTCAACACTACAGAAGTCTCTGTAGTCAAATACAAATCCCAATGAACAGCTATTAAACAAAGACCATACCTTAAGTATTTACTGATGACATGCAATGAAACCAAGCAAGCAGTAACAGGATTCCATTTATGTTTGGAGCATTCAGAAAGAGACCATTGTGGTTCAGCTGGGGTACAGGACTGGAATTTCACTGAAAACTTGTGAATGGTTAACATTCTCTCCCCACTTGACCTACAAAGTAACAGTTTCCAAACAATGCATCTAAGTAATTCTTTGTATAAACAGAACACTAAGAGCAGAACTGATTTTCAGAGTTTCTGAATGCCCACAAACTCACATCAAGGAAATACACAGCTACATCTTGCAGTGATTAGTCACTTTGTTTTCCTGTATACCCATATTCAGAAAAACAATTCCACAAGAATTCTTTGATCAGAGTAAAACCAATTGTTCCCCAGTGCTTTTCACCTCCCTAGGTTATGAAGGGCTTAACTTCTATTGCCTTTCCTAAGACCAAACATTGTTTATTTAACATATATCAACATGGCTCAGGTCTAAGTCATCTAATGAAGAGCACAGACCTGAACTATGGAATTACATGGAGAAAGCAAAGTCCTGATGTTCTCAAGTGTTTGGGTGATTTTATTTCCTTTTTGCAGCTTGTATTAATCTCATGAGGACAAGTAAGACCAACACACAATCTTTGCTTTGGAGATGCCTGTAAGTATGCATCAGTTCTGGAAGGGAACAGCTCTGCAAGTCTGTACATAGGAAAAAAATAGTAAAAGGCTCTCAAAAATACCAGCTCTGCCTCCAAGTACACAGATAGAAGAAGCAGACCTACCCAGACTGTATGTGTGCATGCACACAATGAGTCAAATGGAAATCAAGACCCAAGAAGTCACCCTGCAGGAACAATCTCTCTAACTGCAAGTCTCTGGCAACTGCCTACGCATCCTCCTTTGCCCTCACAGTTTGATGAAGAAGCTATCAAGTACTCAGCAAGGAAACATTTAGCAAGGAAATATGGACATCACTGGGTTTCTGTGAAGATATCAGTCAGCATTTTAGAGATGGCAGAGAGAGAAGGTTTCACAGAATTCACCAAGGAATTACTGTGGTACTACTGAATTCTCTTAATCAGCAACAAGAAGTTCAGCCTGAGGCAGAGGAAAAGGTTAATGGATATGACTTTGCTTCCTTCTTCCCAAAAAGCTCAGCCTCAGTGTTTTTCAACAGTCTCAGACTCTGAATTCCAGGAAATTGTATTTTAGAACAAATCAAAAAATAGCCCTGAGACTAAACATACTTTGTAAGAGCTGCTATTGCTTTACATAAATCAAACACAACAATCATTTACTTCTACAGTAAGCAATATTTAATTTTCATTCCTTTTTTCCCCTCACTTGGGATATGTACCTGAAACCAAGAATTTCTTTCCAAGATATATGTACTTAAGCATTGTCAGTTACTTTGCCAAGTACTTAAATACTACAGGATTATGGCACCAATCAAGGAAAAAATAGCTGATGCAGGTCAAACTTTACCAAAGGATCCCTCTTCTCCTCTGCCTTTAATTTTTTTTTTAAAAAAAAACAATTCTAATAATCACAATTGTCACCATGGACTTCATTATAATGAACTCCCTCCTTGTGATTTAAGTAGAACTTACAACTGGAGAAACATCATTTAGTATATCTCAAGATCAACTGCCAGTGTTGAACACAACCACCAGCCTTTCGGTGTGGCTAGAAGTGTAGAACATCAAGAAGACAAGAATATCAAACGTGTCAAGTTGTGCATAAAAATAGACCTTTACTTTTTCTTAAGCTACAAAGTAGGCAATCAAGGAACTGACTAGGTCTATGCATAGTTAGGATTTTCAGTAAGCCAAAAGAATTTGAATTCTTTCAGTAAAACTGTGCTTGTGTAATGCACAGGTCAGCTCCCCCAACAAATGAACATCCCACTCTATACATAAAAGAATCTTTAAAAAGCTCCATGCACTCTCAAAGCTATTTGCAAATAGATTTAAATACTTTAGCTAACAGCTATGCAATGGCACAAGACAGCACATAAAAAATTTAAGGCTAATTTTTGTCTGCACACATCAAAGCTGGTCTCAGAACAAGAGCTGTCATATTTTCTTAACTCTGAGTTTTTAGTGTGGATTCATAATAAACTTGAGCTGCCACAGCAATAGTAGAGTTGTCCTGCATATAAAAAAGACTGAATGTTGTCCTGAATGCAGTTTTTTTTTATAAAAAGCAAAAACTTCACACATTTACATTTGGTTTTTATCAGAGCAGCTCACTAATTTGTACAGTACATTGTCCAATAACATACAAGATAAATTACCAGAGAGATACTCGAAGTACTACAACAACAGGTGCAAAAGAAAGTCCTAAGGTAAGAAAGCCCACTGCTGTTTGGGAGAGTCACACTGTGATGAAAACAAACATCAGAATGCATTTTGGTGAAGTCAGTTAAGTGTCAAGGCTGTAATAAAGGCTATTTGTTAACTTTAGCCCTTCTTAATGGCTCTTAACCATTCAGTTAAGATCTCCTAATAAAGCACTAGGCAGTTTGGCAACAATGAAGTTCTTTACATGCTACTGTTACAGAAATAGAAAACAGACTTAAAAGCACTTCCTTCACCTGTATATGATCTGGATTCAGTCACACCAGGTTTAAACAAACCTATCTAAAGCAGTTCATTTTAGACTTCAAATTGCACTGTAGTGTTTCAGAAGAAACAAATTAATATCCACAAAGCTTAGAAAAGAACTATCAACTGGCAAAATTACACAAGTTTGATGCACAAAGCTGCTTATTTTTAAAACTCTGTTCCTCAATGACTCCAGATGACTGATAATGTCAGTGCAAATCAAAACTGTTACTTCAAAACAATCCTGTCCATTTTCATGGGAAGATAGATAGTAAACCAAATTACACTTATTTGCCAATTTAATAGGTGAAATACTTTTCATACCTCCTGGTACAATTTTAATTTATCGATTTTTTTTTTTGCATTATGTTTTCAGAATACTATAAATAGAGAACCTGCACATTCTAGTATGATTTACACTTACTTGCTGAATAAAGTACATGCAATCATAGTTACTAATAAAGGATTTAAAGGAACAGCAAATATG